GGGACCAAGAAATGGGATGCCCATCCACACATGAATGGATAAAGAAATATGGTACATATATACAATAGAATTTTTTTGCCACCACAGAGAAAAATTACATCATGACATGGCTCTGGAAATTGTTGTGTTAATCAAAATAAGCCAGATTGAGTCAATATTCCATGTTGCCTCTCACATGTAGAACCCAGATTTAAAATTATATCTTTGTGTGTCTATGTATGTATGTATTTATATATGTGTGCAGTCATGAAACAAAGGAACCATAAAAGAGGAAGAAATCTTAAGGGAGTGGGAAATAGAGAGGCCAATGGAATTAAGGAAGCAGAAGGTGGGACTAATGTAGTGAGGAACGGAACCAGCTAGAGGCAGGAAGGAGAATAGGGAGAGAGTGGCAGGGGAGGGAAAGGCATGAGAACAATGTACAGTAACACAGATATATGAAGATGCCACATTGAAGCACCTGGTATGCTAATCTAAATGAACAAAAATGAATTTGTGTCATATCAAAAGAGAGGACTTGCCACTACCATCTTACCTTGATATTTAATGATTGTTCATTTAAAACTATATGCTACTTTTTTTGTCTTTTTGAGACAGGGTCTCCCTGTATGCCCAGCTGGCCTGGAACTTGCTATGGAGACCAGACTGGCCTGGATCTCATAGAGATCTGCCTGCCTCTGCCTCCCAAGTGCTGGGATCAAAGGTGTGCACTACCACACCTGGCACTATATGCCATTTTAATCAACTGCATACTAAAAATAATTTTAATAATAATCTAGAAGAAACTAACACTTAGAGTTTTACAGTTCTCAGGAGAAAAATGAATTTGTTTAATCATCATATAGTTATTCTTAGCCAGACAAGACATAAAAAGACATTCAAGAAAAATGTTTGAAGCATAAAAACATGTTATTTTAAGATCACATGAAAATAGAGGTTCAAGGAGAAAAAGGAAAGATATAAAATTCCCACCTGTTAAAGAAGAGTTTGTTCCTACATCTGGAAAGTGTGACAGTGGCCAGCAGAGACACTGGCATACAGCTTCTACTGTGTGTATTGAAATGAGTGTTATGACAATTTTCTTTTAAATTTTTGACTTAGTATCAGAAATTACTTCCTTTAAAAAATACAAACAGAATAAATAATTTTACATGTCAATTTAAATGTGTGAGGGTAAGTACTGAACAATTCCATTTATAAGAAAATCTAGGGGGCTGGAGAGATGGCTCAGTGAGCACTGACTGCTCTTGCAGAGGACCTGGGTTCGATTCCCAGCACCTACATGGCAGATACAAACCGTCCTTAACTCCAGTTCCAGGGAAATCCAAAGCCCTCTTCTGACTTCCGCGGCATTGTATGACAGGGGTGCACTCACATACATGCAGGCAATACACTTGTACACATAAAATAAAAATAACAAAATATTAAAAAAAGAAAATCTAGAACAGACTAAATTCATCTACAGTGAAAGAAAATCAAAACAATGTTTGCCTCTAAGCGAGGTGGGGGCACACGTTACCTGAGAAGGAGTACAGGGGAATGTTCATGGTCAGTAATAATGTTCTATACCTTAACAGGGTTTGGTTATTTGTCAAAAGCTATCAGATGGTATACCTAAAATGAATACATCTTGTTGTGGTAAATATTACCTAGGGGGGAAAAATAAGCATGTATTTGAGTTCTAAGTTAATATCCATCATCTATGCTGAAGAGGTTAGGGGTAAAGCATTTGGAAATGCAAAATGAGTAAGATAGATTTAAATGTTGAGGTAAAAGAGCAATGGGGAATATTTTTTCCATAATTATTTTTGGCACATGTATGAGAAAAGTTAAGACCATTTAAGATGAATCCTTGCTTTAAATGTACAAACCTCTCTCCAGAATTCCAAATCATATATTCCCTCCCTTTGAGCTTCCCCAGATCTAAAACTCAATAGATCCAAAACTGAATTTATTGCCTTCCTCTCTCAGGTACAAACATCTCAGCTCCAAGTAACACAATAAAGTTAAACACAAATTGGGATTCTTTCTTCTTACATAACAAGAAGGCTGGAGGTAGAGAGGTGGTATTGTTGATTCCACAGTTTAATATATAAAGGTCCTAGCAGGCAGGTTTAGAGTTCCCTTGACCACTCCTCATCGTCTCAACATGTTCTAGAGTTTCAGGTATCATGTCTGAGTTCGAGACGGGAAGAAAAGAGGAGAGGAAAGCCATAGCACTAACAATTTAAAGGCTAATTTCCTTATTATGCCTTTTAACATATCGTCTACTTTCATAAGATAATATACTCTTGAAAGATGTCATTAGCTAAGATGCGCTCAGCCACAATGACATACAACACTCAGACACATATAAAAACCTAGACTGTGGCTGGACAGATGACTCAGTGGTTAAGAGTGCTTGCTGCTCTTCCAGAGGACCTGAGTTCAATTCCCAGTACCTACAGTGGCTCACTTCCACCTGCAAATTCAACTCAAGAGGATCCAACGCCCTCTCAACTTTCTGCTTTATTTTTATTATTAGATCTGTCCCCAGGCTGGTACCAAGAAGGATACAATATGTGTACAACTACAAGAAGTACAACATGTGTACAACTATAAGAAGATAGACCAACTGGGACCCAGAAGCCATCGCTCTCTTCTCATTAGCCATAGCACCTATCAGTTTATTTTTATAAGCTAGCTACAAGGAAATAGAATTATCTTAAGGGTGGGTATGGTGGCACAGAACTGTTACTTTAAGCTAGTACTGCCTAAGACATAACTTTGTGAAAGGAGGGTTATGATGGTTAATCTCAATTGTCAACTGGATGAGATCTAGAATCACCTGGGCCTGCCTGTGAGGGATTACCTTGATTAGGTTAATTAAGGTGGGAAGAACTGCCCACTGTGGGTGGCACCATTCCCCAGGATGGGATCCTGAACTATTAAAAGGAGAGAATGAACTGAGCCCAAACATTTATCACTCTCTGCTTTTTAACTATGGATGCAATGTCACCAGCTGCCTCAGGTTCCTGCTGCTGTGACGTCCCCACCATGATGACCTGTAAGCCAAAATAAAGCCTTACTCCCTTGCTTTTTTCAGGGTATTTCATCACAGCAACAGGAAACATAATTAAGCAAAGGGCTGAGCAAATTTATACTCCAAATCTAAAAATGCTGTGTTAGGTATGCAACAATCCATTTATAATGTATATACTAGAACTGCAGAATGGAAGAACAATAGATTCCTGTATCATAATAGCAGTTCAGTTCCCAGAGAATAGAATATATAACCTCTAAATAGATTTTGTCTTACAAACATAAAATCCAACAATATAATAAACACAACCACATGATACCATTGTTCATTCAGCTGATTTATTGAAAGCCCCTGGGGCAGTAGACTACTCATTAATTTAGTTCCTCTTTTTATAGCAAAACAGTATTGGCAGATACAGAGCTGTAAGTGTGAGTGATACTAAGTCTTCGCTTCTGCATACCTAATGACTTCTATCTTTGTCTCTTGTTCACTGTTACTACCAGAATCAGCACTTTCATTTTTCTGCTGCTCATTTTCATAAATAAAATCCACTAGATATTTAAAGACACAGATGTAGGCTGAGACCATAACATGGTAGGGACCGAGTAGTTGGCTGAGAGTCCCGGACGGTTCTAGCTGTCCCTTTCATCATACTTTGTGCCCAACACTGCTCTGGGAACTTTACAAATACTAATGCGTTAATCTTCACAAGCTTTGGAAGTGGGTACTACAATCTCTATAGTGGGATGGGGAGACTGAGGCCCAAGGGTAATGTGATAGCGTTCCACTATGGTAAGCTGACTCAGCTGTGATTTGGCCTGGGTGCCCTCCTGACTCCCCTCATCTTGGCTTTCACACTGGCGCCTGCTCTGCTCCCGCTAGCCACAGTCTTCTTCATTCCCATTCACTGTTCCCTGCCGCTGAACTATTGCACGTGCTGTCTTTCATGACTTCTCTGTGTCTCTACTGGGACTCATTTTTCAAGTCGGGATCAGACCTGTCCCATCCCAGTTCAAGGCAGCGGCCAGGCTCTTGCCCAGCGCCTAGCCCACCCACCTCACCTCGCTCCGCTCCGATGATTTGCTTATAGATCTGTGTCCTCCAGTAGATGTGACACCAAGTCTGGCAGTCCACCTGGAGTCTCTGGGGCTTGCTACTATGCCTGGCCTATAATTGTCACTTGAGTGTTGCTAAATTAATGCATGAGCTCCCTGAATTTAAACTTTCCTGTCTCCCCCGTGCCGTCTGACACCACATATTTTAGACAGTCAACTGGAGTAGGAGCCTCATTTCCCCTACTAACTTAATACAAGCAAAGCAAAACAAAACCCACCTTTTTTTTTTTTTTTAAAACCATCTACTCATCTCAATCTAGACCCAGAGAATTTGGACTCTTTTCAAGCCCTCCAGCCGGTCAAACCTAGCAGGATGTGGGGAGTCTAACTGCCCTTCGCAGGCATGGAGGGCTGAGCAGGATGGGGAGCTGTGTCAGAGCGCAGGACCGCCTCCTGCGCCTTCTCCCAGTTCTTGCCTATTAAGGTAAGAGTCCTCGGAGGAGCCCGAGCGGCAGGAGGGAGGGTCCCCGCAAGATGCCGCTGAACAGCAGCCCTTGACCCTTGGCCAGGCGCCCCCACCCCGAGTCCTGACAGCTTTGGGTTGGCCGCGATCCCTGCTTAGCTTTGCTACCTAAAGTCACCTTCCTAGGTTTCCATGGCCACAGAGGATAACTTCAATCAACAGTGTGGGCCTAGGGAGTCTGGGCACCCGGTGCAGACTAAATGGATCCCGTGTCCCCTCTCAAAGCTCCGACAGCCGTGTGCCCGCCAGCGCGGAGGACGGTGGTTCCACCTCCCGGCTCAGGAGCAGGTCCCGGGGATCTCCACCCCAGGGAGCTCCAGCCCTGGGCCAGCTGGCTACACTGGTGTCTGGTCCCCGCCCACAGGCCACGCCCAAGCCACGCCCCCACCGGTCCCGCCCCGCCCCTCCCGCCGGCGCCCGCCGCTCTCCGGGCTAGCCGCGCGGGCCTGGGGACTCAGAGCCCACCGCCGGGGTCGCAGCATGGGGCGCTTTCGCGGGGGCCTGCGGTGCATCAAGTACCTGCTGCTGGGCTTCAACCTGCTCTTCTGGGTGAGACCCGAGCGGGGGACCGAGCCGGGGGCCGGGCCGGGTGGCGGGTGCGGGGCCGGGGTCTCCGGGGAGCTGACCGCAGCGGCGCCCGAGCCCTGGGAGAGGGCAGGGTGCTCCAGAGGCGAGAGAGAGACAAAGGGGGAGGGCACTGATGTGGAGAGGACGCCGACCAGGGTCCACCGAGCGGGTGAGAAGCAGAGACACCGCGCGGCTCTTCCCCCGGAGCCTTCTGCCTTGGTGGCATCCCCTGGCGCTGGCGCCGGCGCCAGGTGCGGGGACCCAGCCTGTCCTCCTCCTGGCTCCCTGCAGCCTGCTGTGCACACACCCACCTCTCACTCTGCCTTCCCGCGGGAGCCTGCGGCCTGGCAGGGACCCTGGGAGAAAAACACCCTAGGGCTGCCTGGGGTAGTGCCGGATTCCGAGAGAGTGTGTGGACACACCGCCTGGCTCTGGCTTGTTGGGGAAATATTGGGCAGGAGTGAAAATTGAGGGAGCATCCTTTCCTTGGGCATTAAAGGAAGATACTGCTGGGTGGGATGTGGTGGGTGCTGTTCTGGGAGGGTGTGGGGAATGGAGAGGTTTCTGAGGGGCAGCGGGGTCCCCGCCTTTTACTGGTGCTCCGGAGATGATCTCATTCAACTTTGCAGGGTGGCATAGACCTGGCAACATTCCTAGGTTAGAGGTACACAGAGAGGTCTGTGGCCCAAGTTTCTTGTATTACTAGGGCATAGTTAGGGGCAGACCATCCCTAGAATACTCTGTACCAAGCCCTGGCCAATCTGCGAAAGGTCTTTTCTGAACACTCCCTTTGGAACTCTCCTTAAGAGAATGCCGGCTAGTGAACTGCTCAGACAGACCCCGAAAGGAGACACGGATCTTGGGTCTTGCTTGGGGTGAAGGTGTTTGTGGAGAGTAGTGTAGCAGCAAAAGACAGGGTACTGAGAAGCTTTGGGGCCGGGAAGGTGGTTGTCTATTCTGAGAGGTTTTCTAGACAGCAAGTAATTAATTATTGATGATGGGCTCTACTTGTGTCTGCCAACCCTTTAGCCCAGATTCCTGGGTGACTCCAGCAACTCCAAGCTCTTCAGAAGCCACATGGTCATGTCCAGCATCTGTCAGCAATGGACAGTTTGGAGGAGGCACCTGAGGATGGACTCTGCATTTTAAAAATACACATGGCTTTTATGCACCTGGGCATTTACATCTCACATGCTCCAGGAAGAGGCATTTCCGAGGGTCCTTGTGTTTTTTTTAAAGTCTGGCTTAATTTCAAAAGCTGTTAATTATAGATGTCATGCTGTGGTGACATCCTTCATTCTAACTGCTTATAAATTCAAGTTTCATGTCAGCTTGAGAGGGAAGGCTAGGCTCAGTGCTTATTTCAGCCTGACATGGTGCCAGCTTATCAAATGTTTTCAATGGGTCAGGGGCAATGCTAGGCACCTGACATCCATCATTGCACTCCATCCTTACCACAGTACCAATGTACATGCCTGGCAACCCCCATTTTTCAGAGACCAGAAGGCAGAGGTCACACAGCTGTGGAGAGGCACAGACAGGACTCAAACGCTGCCTACTGGCTCTAAACCCTGTGGGAGATCCAGTTAACAAGTAGTTCCCCCAAAGTGTGGCTCCTGGATGAGCAGCATCAGCATCCCCTGGGGATTTGTCAGAAATACACATTTTTAGCCTACCCCAGACTTGCTGACTCAGATGCTCCGGGAAAGGGGTCCAGCAAGCTATTCTAGCAGGCACTCCTGACCAATGGGCACATTTCAGAAATACTATTAAACAACTGCTGGACAGACATTCGTTTTTTACTATACATCACTGTTCCCTAAGCTGCTACTCCAGTTGAACCAATGACAGCACTGCTTATGGGATAACAAGAATAAAGTAAGTATATAAACAAGTAACAAGTTTCACACCGTTGAGCCTAAACACAGGGAGAAAGGAAAGTAACAGGCCAGTGAAGTTTGAGTGCCTGTCACTGAAGTTACAGATGGCCTTTTCTATAAGTGATCTAATTTTGGATTTAGAGAAGGGATCCCAGTATCAGTGAGAAGCCTGGGAATCTCTGAAGGAGCTATTGGGGCTCAACCTTGAAAGACTGGGAAAATGGGGGTGTGCAAAGGTGAACCACCAGCTGAGGATCAGGGGAAAGGAATGTGAGCCATCTGAGTGGCAAAGCTATCTGGCCTGAGTGCAGCACCCAGCGGGGTGTGGTTGAACAGATACGGTGTGCCTGAGCAAGTTACTCTTACTAATCTGAGCTTAGTTTCTCATGGGTACAATCAGAGACCTAGAGTTGTTGAGAGGATTAAAAGGAAATGCATAGTCTCCGACCCCGCCTTCCTCTGACTTCCATACATAGTAGGGGCTTAAAAGCCTTCATTATTTTTATTATTAACTACCTGGCACATAGGAAATGTTTAGTAAACAATACCTATCTTTCTTCTGATGCCCTTAATGTTGGCAAATTGTATCTCTGTGCCAAATGTCTTCTTTAGTGACTAGACATTTATCCTCTCAATTCATACTTGGGCATTTTCCCCACTAAAACCTATGACTGTCTTCAAGCAGGAAATTTTTTGCTGTTGAGTTCAGTCATTTCACCAGCACCTAGAATGGTGTGCAACACATAGGTGGTACTTGAATAAATTATCTATAGAATGAATAAATGAATCTTCAAGTTTGAATCCTGAGTGTGAATGGCCCTCCTGATTTCCAGATAATCAATTATGAACTCTATTTGGAGACCTTGTTTATCTCTGCCCCATCATTGCATGGATGTTGAACTTTGCTCTCAGAGATCAAGCCCAGTAGAGAGCTGGGAGGACCTAGCAGCTCCCCAAGAGAGGGCGGGTCGAGGATGAGCAGCAGGTGCCAGCAGCTTTCTTGGTCCTGCGCTTGTGCAGCCAAAGTAAAAGGGATGAACTGAAACACAGCTACTGACTTGGGGGAAGTCAGTCGCTTGGGATAAATTATTCACATTCCTCCCTTCCTGTCATAAGGGAACCTGAACCACAGAAGACTCGCCCTAGTTTCTAAAGTTGATTTTATCCAGATTGGAGGGCTTTCCCTGGAAGGAAGGCTTCAGCTGTGACTTGGAATATAATGTTTACACACACCCTTAGATGTCTTCCCTTCTGAGGTATAAGGTCTCCCTGGGTGACAGCATTTCCTGTCCTGCCAGAAATTGGCCAAGAGGCAGGCACAGAGTCTGCAGAGTATGTTTTGTGATCTGCAGTTTCACAGATCCATTTGGAGTCTCATCCTGGCAGCTGGGTTAAAGTTTCCCTCAGCTGCACTCTGGTTTTCTAAACATTCAAGCAGACCTCTCAGAACCAGCACAGAGCTCCCTGGCCTGGGGGTACCAACTGTATTCACCACTGAGCTTTAAAACCAAAAGTAAAGCCTGGTTATTAACTTTACTAAATTAATTTCTGACACCACAAATGATGTCTGCTCCTGCCAGGTCTAACTTCAGGGACTATGGTCACATAGCCTAGTATAGTCCTGTGCCTTTCATTGAAATCACCTTTGTTTCTTCTTCCCCTCTGTTGCATAGCAATATAAATAAAATACTACAACCCACCCAGCCACATATGTTGGTTTAAAGAAAAGCCTAGGCACTGTTTATTCCTTGATTTATTGTTGTCTGCTCAGCGTTTTCCTATCATTGTGCTGCTCTGAGCTGCTCAGGGTTGCGTCCAACAGGAAGCAGGGTTGTTCTTTGTTGAAAGTCGGATGCCATATATGGCAAATTTGAAGTTGCTGTTCTTTCCTCCTCACCACGATTAATGCAACTTTGGCTTTTCACTTGGTGGTGCCTAGTAGGTGCTTGTGAAAAGACATCTCCTTGGTTTTGGAGTAGAAGATGTTTGAGTCAAAGTTTACAGAGGTACCTCCTGCTCTTTCCCAAGCATTTCAAAAACAATTTCTGAGCAGTTACCTATTGGTAAGACTGGCGAAGGGGGGTAGGGAAAGATCCTTTGATGTCTCCCAAACAGCCTGCTCGCCATAGTGGACCCTGTGATTTCTGTCAAGGTGGGAAGACAGCAGCAGTGGCTAGCCTGCCCTACTGACCTAGGGATGCTGGGAGGAGCAAAGAGTGCACAAGGCCAGCCCAAAGAGGCCAGAGCTGTGGTTCCTGTGTTGTGGTAGACCTTAGACAGACCTATGCAGTATGGTGATTCAAATCCAGAAAGCCAAGCCTAAAATGTGGAGTCTGGCACCACACTGCCTGAGCTTATTTCTGGCTCCATTGGTTACTAACTTGGAGACAAGGGCAAATTGTTTGACCTCTTTAAGCCTCAGTTTTTTCATCTGTACAATGAGTATAAAATTAGAGTAATACTCCAATCACTTTATGATCTTTGTGCAGATAAAACAAATGAATATATGTAAACTAAAAATCTGGTGCATGCACCCACATGCTCAATAACCTAAGATGTTAGGAATGGTGGAATTCAAATGCTAGAGGGGCAAGTGGAAAGGGAGAACCAGAACTCCATAGGCTCCTAAAGGTAAAAAGGAGCAAGCAAGTGCCCTGTATACATGTAGTCAAAGTGGCTAGAGTTATGGAAGGTGCTTATGGAGGTGCAGAGTCTTATGGAAGGAGCTTATAAAAGGTACAGTTAAAGAGAGAGATTCCTTCCTCTATGGTCAGTTTACTCAGCCTATATGTGCTAAAGCCTGACATCCTGATAAGCACTGCTGGTTCAAAGATTAAGACCTAATTCTAGGGTTGGAGAGAGGGCTCAGCAGTTAAGAGCACTGGTTGCTCTTGCAGATGATCCAGGTTTAATTCCCAGCACCCACAAGGCAGCTAAGAACTGTCTCGACTCCAGTTCCAGGGGCATCCAACACCCTCTTCTGACCTCCATGGGCATTGCATGACATGGGTGCACCTACCTACATGCAAGCAATATACTCATAACCCATAAAATAAAAATAATAAAATATTTTTTAAAAGACCTAGTTCTAGATTGGGAGCC